CAATTCAATTCAATTTTATTTATATAGCGCCAAATCACAACAAAAGTCGCCTCAAGGCGCTTCATAGATACAGAGAAAAACCCAACAATCATATGACCCTTCATGTGCTAACTCTGCTGACTTGACTGCAGCTGAAGTGAAGAGAAGCAATTTTGCAAGCATGGCTTCAGTTTAAGGGTTTCTGTGGAAGGGAAAATGATTTGTTACACTGCAGTTGTGTTTTTGGACTAATGATGTATTATTGCATCATTTGAATTTTACAGCCTGGTTTTAAATTAAACTTTGTAAGTGAAGCCTTTGCAGCAAGAAAAAGCCTGTCGTGAATGAATCAGGGTGTGTGGCAGGACTAGTGGGTCAGGTCTTTTTGGAAAGAGGACCATTGATTGCCACTAGCTGTGTGTGGGGCTCATGAGACTTCATGCATAACTTGGATTTGGTTGCACTAGTTATTTCAGGAAGCAAGAGGATCACTTGAAATGACGGAATATAATTTATTGAAGTGCGGAGTTTGATTAATAAATGATTTGCCGACATTGGTAGGAAGAAATACACAACAGTATTGCTGATGGAGATTAGAGTTGGAGACTCTGGTGAGGCACATTGAGCATCCAGAATAAAGGTGGCGATGAGGAGGAGGCAGAGCACATGAATGAGAGTCTGAAACGACTGCACTGAGATTTAAAGCTCAAGGAACAGAGGCTGAATGGCTCACAGGAGGAGGGTGAAAAAGCTGCAGTGAAGCTGGTTGTGTTGTTTTTGTTGGCTCACAGAACCGCTGATGTGGCGTGTACAGTTATAAAAAGGATCTACTGGTTACAAGTAATCGTAGTTGGCTAGGTTTACTGGATGGATTTAGTTGCATTGTGGTGCTGTGTGTGTTTGTGAGTTCATTCTGCATTATCTTTGCCTAATGTCAAAATGACCGGAGTAACTGTACTAGTTATGGATAATAAAGACTTTAATAACCCATAAATTTATTTAAAGAAGCCTTTTTTATTGACAGGCGTTCAAGCAAGGAAACATAATTTCACAGTGACATAATATGGTGCATAGTAACAGATAAAGATATCCACTTTACATGGCTAAAGATTTCGTTCTGTTATCATGCTATAATAATAATAATGGATTGCATTTATAAAGCGCTTTTCGGGGCCCTCAAAGCGCTTTACAATTCCACTATTCATTCACTCACTGGTGGAGGCAGCTACAGTTGTAGCCACAGCTGCCCTGGGGCAGACTGACAGAAGCGAGCCTGCCATATCGCGCCATCGGCCCCTCCGGCCATCACCAGTAGGCGGTAGGTGAAGTGTCTTGCCCAAGGACACAACGACCGAGACTGAGACTGTCCAGTTACAAGATGGACAGCCAACTCTTTAAACCACGATTGCCCCGAATAATGATTGATTTATGTATGGATAAACCCATCTGTTATATAATATTTCAACCTAAAGGTAAAAGTTCACTCATTGTGTTCATCAGTTTTCACTCATTCTGTCTTGCTTTCCATTTCTACTCTACAGCTGAGCTCAGAAAGTTGGAGGGCCTCAAGACTATTGCCATGACAACCAATGGCATGAACTTGGCTCGGCTTTTGCCAAACCTTAAAGACGCCGGATTGGACCTGATCAACATCAGCCTGGATTCATTAGTTCCTGCCAAATTTGAGTTTATTGTCAGACGGAAAGGTATGGAAGCGTCGTCAGTGTATCAGTGTCAGCTGTGTGAGACATATGATCAAAACACCAATAGTGTGCGTAGATTGAGCGACATCAAAGCAACATCACGAGGCTATAGCTGATTGACGCTGTAGTTTAGGAGTGTATAACCACAAAAGTGTCAGATGGTCAGTGAGATATTTTCTAAATCCCTACGTCTTTAGAAAATATGAAGGAGATTGTGATCTGGTGATGGTGGAGGCCATTTGAGTATAATGAACTCATTGTGATGTTTAAGATGCCAGTTTTACATGATTTAAGCTTTGTGACGTGGTGTGTTATCCTGCTGGAAGCAGCGGTCAGAAGATGGGAGATATCACTGTCACTGTGGTGATAAAGTGATGGGTACTGAGCAACTGTACTCGGACAGGCTGTAGTCTTTAAATAATGCTCATTTGGTGCTAACTGGCCCAAAGTGTGCCCAGATAATTGGCTGATTGACTGACTTCAGATGAAATTAAACATATTTAATATTCTTCATGTTTGGCTAAAAGCTCTCACTGTCTTTATGTATGAAACTGTTCCTTTTTTTAGTGTTTCCCTAGTTCAGATTTTTCTTCTAGTGTATGATAGGCATAAATCTGTGTAGTTGTGTAGTTTTGTTGTGGGTCCATCCCACAAGCTTAGGGAAGAAGGCTGTAAGCTGTAAACACTGCAGGTGACAGCAGGGCAGAGCTATGGGTGGTTGGCTCGTGAAAGGCAGACACAGATGGACTAACTGAGATTAGGACATGAAGAAGAGCGGAGAAAAGAAAACTGGCTTCACAGCACCTGCCTTCTTGTGTTTGTAATAGAAGTTACTGTTGAAATCTTGTTTCTTTTCTTTATTCAGGACAAATTGCAGTTATGCAAACTGTAAATAAAACATAAGCCTCATCCTACATAAAGATCCTGCTTTGATTGAATTGTTTTGAGCAAGTGAAAACAAATAATGACTCTGACCTTGACAGTCTGCTTTTCAAAAGCTTGAGCTGCTGTGGAGGGATTACATGTTTGTATATAAGTGGTTTGTGGTGAATTATGGACATTAAAAGGTGGAGGAGAACAGACAAGGCCGAGCTTTTCGTGTGGAAGCACCACTCATTTCAGAAACCACAAAGCTTTGTTCTGATCTTTGTTTTTGTTGTATGATTCAGTGCATTTTTATTTCTCAAAACCTGCCTCCAATCACACACCATTCTCAACTTTAGTCGTAGTTTAATAACATACAATTTAAAGAAACTTTACTATTATTATTTATTAGTTGCATTACTAATGCACCTAATGTAAAATGTTAATCTTAGTCACATTTAATTTTCTATTTGCCTTTTCCAGGGTTTCACAAAGTAATGGAGGGCATTGAAAAGGCCATTGAATTGGGCTACAGTCCTGTGAAGGTATTTGTTCATTTTCATTCATTATTAAGTCTCTGTTATGGAAAATATCCCCACTACGATTCAATGTCTTCCTTTTTGTTACTGTTTAACATTTTTGCCGTTTATATAGAAGTATTAAAATGGGTAAGATTTAATTGCACAAGTGTTTCACAGTTGCAGAAATGTAGCAAATTAAAATGCAGAGTGCCCAAAAACTCGGAGATAATCAGCTAATATCAGTGAGAGAAAACAATAAAATCATGGTTAGGAAAGGTGAATTCCCTGTGATGACTTTCATATGGTGTTTTTGGATAATGTGTCAGAGTGAAAGCCTGGAACTGGAGAGTAACAAGGGGCCGAGGATGGATCCTTGGAGACCAGCATTTTTACTGATCTAAGATCAATCCTACGGTGGCCCTGAGAAGTCAAACGCACGGCAACCCAAGCCAACAGAAATGTTGCAAAAGCACACAAAGCATAAGAAAGTAGAAGAAAACGCAACAGAAGTTAAAACAATACATAACGGAAGTAGCAAACTGCTGCAAAAAACTCACATAAATCATGCGATTAGTGCATAATGCATTGCATCTTTTTCTTCTTTAGAACACAGACAAATACTCTGCTTGTTTTCAGTGCAGTCCCTCACATGGTTCGGTTTCAGCCACTTCTGCAGCTGTCATGTTAATGTTTCCCCTAAATTACTTTCGCTGTGCTTTATTCAACTTGTCTTTATTTTTTTCTGCTTTTATAAATTTTCAAAAATGTGGTGAATTCATCCAGTCATTAACATCACTGGATGAATTGTCATGTATCTTTCATCAGTCTTATAAGGCTGTTATTATTGTGTTACATAATTAAATATTGGCCCACACATCTTCAGTAAGTCATTTTCTGTCGGTTGTTACATAACCAGCTTGTTAGGAAAATAATAGCTCAGTAATCAGAGGCCTATTGTTGATCACTTCTCTCTGTAGATCAACTGCGTGGTCATGCGAGGCCTCAATGAGGAAGAGCTGCTTGATTTTGCAGCACTGACAGAGAAGAAGCCTCTGGAGGTGCGCTTTATAGAGTACATGCCCTTCGATGGTAAGTACTCACGTCCCCTGAAGAGTTTCAAATGCTCTTGCAAACGTTTTAAACATCCATTGTTTAAAGCCACACTGCCTGGTTTGTCTCCTCTCTGCAGGCAACAAGTGGAACTTTAAGAAGATGGTGAGCTACCAGGAGATGCTGGACCGCATCAGGCAGAAGTGGCCCGACCTGGAGAAGCTTCAAGCTGGACAGACAGACACAGCCAAGGTCAGTGTCTCCAACTGTACTAAATTACTTTGGAGATGAAACACTGACAAAGATGGTTGATTAATTATTATATTTATACTGAAAAATAAAAAGTCATGTTTCTTGTGTTCCTCTGTGCATTTTCTCCGACACATCCGAGTCCCTTTGATCAAATAGACCTGCAGGATTTTTCTGTATTTCTACTTAAAACATCATCAGATTATAACACAAGTCCTAAAAAGCAAAAAAGAAGACAACCCAATTAAACACATTAAACTAAAACATAACAGTGAACAAAGTTTCAGGTGTCGGAGTCCAATCAAGAACTTTTTGTCACTGGTTGTAACATTTGAAAGTATATTTCACACTTTTCCCCCCTGTTTTGAAACAGACATTTAAAGTGCCAGGCTTCAAAGGTCAGCTGGGCTTCATCACCTCCATGTCTGACCATTTCTGTGGCTCCTGCAATCGTTTACGCATCACTGCAGACGGAAACCTAAAGGTAAAGCCGATAAAGCTTTAAAGCTGTGCATGAGGTCTGTTATTGTCCTATGGCACAAATGACCATGTATGCATGTGTGCACTTATAGATGGCCGGAGCTTGTGGGAGGCAGGTTGTGGAGCAAAAAGGGTGGTTTGTGATTTGTTAATAAGTGACAGAATCTTTTGCTGTTACTTGAGTTTTTCATAATTTTGATGAGAATCATATTGCTTTTATACATTTTTCTTCACCTTCATGTATCACTGTCCCTTTTTCTTCACCATTAAGGTCCTTTGATTCTCATTCTGTTCATTCCCTTTGTGTTTGAGACAAAACTTTTAACTAATTAGCATCAACATACACTGAAGGTGTAGAGGAGGCTGCATACACTTCACTCTGAAACACTGATTTCAGTGGTTTGTGCCAAGCAACAGGATACAAGCACAACTACAGAGCTCTTGCAGGCACTACGGTCAAAGTTCAGCAGAATGTAACTTTGACCACTGTGAACTATGACGACTGCCTGTCTACCCAATAGGAAGATGGCATCTCTTTTTACTGGTAAGGTCAGCTACAGGCTATCTCTGCCTTCAGCTGAATATGGCAAAAGATGGTATCTCCGTCTATTGGCCACAGTCAGCTGCAGAGCAAAGTAGAGGAAAT